AACAGATGAAAAATATCTGGGTGTTTGAGAAGAGGACAGGAACTGAAGAAGGGGAGTGTGAAGATGGTAGACTCCTGACAGTCAAGCATGATTATGAAGTTGCTTGCTTTAAGGAGGAGATTGTAACTCATGTTGCAAAGCAGCTGAAACAGTCAAGAGAACTCCTCTCAGAATCTTATGCTCTCCATGCATATACCTCTGAAATGGCCAAGCTGCAAGTTGAGAACCACATGCAGAAAATCTTGAGTGACTGTCCTGAATTCATGCAGGTCCCCAAAAATGCAAAGATCAAAGCAAGTGGCATCAAAGAATATAAACCACATCTGCAACCCCATATCAAGAAGCTGAAGATGTGTATTAGTGTACTGTTTGCATTCCAGCGCAGGGGAGTAAAGGACCAGCAATTTATCCGTGACACAAGACAATGGTTAACAGACTTCATAGCCATTCTCCACAGGTTTGCAACCTGTAGAGACCACCTCTTCCTTCTTAATCATATCATGCGATGTCCAGCAGGAGTAGGGTCTTGGGCCTCAGCATACATTCAGGTATAATTAAGTTATTTTCGTTTTTTATGGATTAGCATGATTAAAAGATAGCATGCTTTATAGTGGTGTAGTCCTAATTTGGTTGTTTGGAAAGAAGGATTGTTGATTGCAAACTCCAGAAAATAGGCTGTTGAAAAAATTGGCATGAAACAGAGTCTAAAGGAATTCCCAAAATTTTGGAATATTGTTTGTACTGATATAATTTTATCTATAGTTTCTCCTTTTATTTTATTTCTCTTGGTTTCTTTTGGATAGATTGGAGGCCCATGGGAAACGGACATCATTGGTAGAGTCCTTGGATGTTGGCCCCTAGATCACTCCCTCACTGTTCTTTCTACAATTCTTAGTCCTGTAAGCAGCAGAGAGGATTTCCTCCACCACCTCAAGCAAAGTGCCTTACCCTCTGGGGATCCAGTTGATGAAAATTCTGGAGATGAAAGGCCTTCTGATACTGTGTGGGTGGTTGTTGATAGCTCTGGGGAAGAGGAAGAAGATCCCACACAACTGTGGGCTATGTTCACCGAGAATGATGTTGTTCAGGTATCCAGTGTTACACTTAGTCTTATCTAGACTTTCTTTGAGAATGGTGTGTTTACATATAATGTTACTGATTGTTTCTTGAACTGTTCACCTAACTTTTTATTTCACTCCCTTCAACAGTTGTTGAACCAAGTACCATTTAAGGAGATCTTCCAACATATGTTAATGATTGAGGATGTGGATGGTTCTCTCCAATACGACGTGTCTCGCACCAGTCACCATGGCCTCATGAAGCTCTTTGCCTTTGCTACCATTCTAATCAACTTGTTTTGCAAGGGCCTTTCTACATTCTCAATGGTGGGTCTGCTGCTCATCTGACATACATTATGTACTTATGTGTTATTTTGAAATATATACCTTCATGCTTTAAAAGCTTTGGGAATAATTAACTAAGCTCATAAATCTTTAGTTGTTGTTTTTTATCGCATTGATGAACACTTGATTTCTTTTCCTCAAAGATGAGGTATCGAGGGGCCACGAAACGTATCTGTAGACTACTGCGCCACACAGTAGAGTATGTAACTGACCACTGGCAGAATTTCCTTCTACTTTACCAGTCATCACCGCAACAAATATCTGACATGAATCAGGCATCTATACATTGGACATCATTACAGGTAGCCTCTATTTTTTGTTTATGAAGTAATATTTCTTGTTATATATTTAGGATTTGAAAGAATTGTATATGTATATTTTTTTTACTTTCACCCTCACTTGTTTGTCTCACAGGTAGAGTATGATCAGTTGTTTGAAAAGGCCGTTCACAGCATTATTAGTAGTCCAAGATCTGGTGCATGGCAGTTCCTTGCTGTCATTCCATACAGAAGTGTGTCTCTTTCAAGGTAAGTCAGACGTTATGTAGTGCTCTTTATTTTACATATGCAGTATTCAAGAATTTATATAGTATTTTTTTAATATATCGATCTAATAGACCAAATCAATGAGTTAGTTCCACATGATTTTTTACCACAGATTATGGAAGATTGTCTACCAGATTCATGTTGGCTGGAGTGAAGAATCCATTGAGAACAGTGAGAAATTAAGTGCTGAAAAGGCTTCATACAGTGACTGGGCAGAACTTGTATCTCACTCAGATACACGGGGTCAGTTTCATGACCGTCTCGTGAAGATTGAGGAAAATGAAGCCTTGTACCTCCTAACAGCATTGGCTAACATGGCAGTCGAACGTGAATCAACAGAGAGTCATTTTGTTGAAGTAAGGAAGGAAGTTTGGATATTTTTATCTTTTTCTATTTTGTCTTCTATTATTTTTTCTATTGGTTAATTCCCATATACATTTGCTTCAATAAAAGTAAATACATAGTTATTTCTATTGCCATCTTGCTTTCCAACCATTATCCCTAAGATATGCCATGTTCTTCATTTGCTAGGTTATTGTGAACAACATTTTTGAAGCAACATTTGTCAATGAAGGAACCAGAGAAGCCCTGAGCAGGATTGGTAGAGACCTGCTGTCATCTGTGGCTTCAAACCATCCCATTTCTGTCTCATACCTCCTAACAACCACTCAGGTAAGTTTGGTTACAAATGTACCATATTACATAGTAATTGCGCTATATCAAGTGGAAAGCATGTGGAAACAATATTTGAATATCTGCTTATTTATTTATTCACTTTTTATTTTTTATTTATCTTTTTTTTACAGGAGAAAATATCTAGTGTGGGAAACATGGCTCTCTACCTCTTCCGTGCTCTTCCACTGGAACTGTGGGAACCTTCTGCTGATGACATTACATGTGTGTCTCATTGGCTGCTCTTCACACCTGTTGCCAGTATAGAAAACCAGCTGGCTAGAATTGTTCTGAGTAAGCTCAACTGGGGCGAAAACGCTTATGGAATACAACTTTTTCTGCCTCCCGAGCTACATCGCAGGGTTAGTTCCATTTTGGCTGTTGTACTTGCTCTTTATCCAAGTGAAGTAAATATTGTTATAATACAGTTTTGTTTGATGGCTATGTTAGGGTAATGTGATCAGATATATTTCACAAAGGAAACTACTATGATATATTTGATACAGGTTGCACTGACAGTATTAGAAGCTCACCTGAAGGTGTCTCGTGAGATGCGACAAGGCAGTCTTTTAACTGAAGGCGTCAAGCAAGTTACCTCTGTCATGTATGCACCTTCAGTAGAGCAGGTAAAGTCACCTGTGATCTTTCGAAATATTCTCTTATATCAATCTAATTTATATGGTGAAAGTTATGTATTTACAATTTAATAAACTGATGGGGAATCTATTTACTACACAGGTGTTTTGTGATTGGTCATGGGAAATTCTCACCTGCCTTAGACTGCACCAGCTTGACCAGCCTGAGCCCTGGGTTCATGCTGTCATAGCTTCACCTGCTCTAATGCTGAAAGATATTCCAGACCCTACTAATTCTGCAATTACTCAGGGGTATGTATCTGGGTGAGGTGACTAGTAGTAATATATTATTGCATAATGATTTATGGGTATCGAGTAAGCTCAGGTGTGGAGGTGATCAGAATATCTGCATTTTCATGTTTTTTAGGTTAAAGTTGATTTATATGTAAGATATGTAATGAACAATGAAAAGCAGAGGACAAAATTGTATTTAATAGGTATAAAAGTATATATTTCTAAAACAAGGTCTGTTTTATCTCTATTAATTGACCAAGATTCTTCAATAATAGAATAAGAAATATAATATAGAAGGTAAATAAATATTAGTATGGAAGAAACTTATTTCTTTTTAAGTCTTTTGCTAGCGAGTTGCCTTTCTGCCGACCTTTTAGATATGGTAATAAGTAAGAATTCTTATAAATAAAGGAGAAGGGCAAGTGTGCAGTAGAGGTGTTAAGTCAAAAATGATATTCAGCACATACAACAGTTATGAGAAAATTGCCAACTGGCAAATTACTAAGGGTCTTTTATAGTTAGTGTTTCTGGGAGCTTATGAAATGGTCTTTTATCTTTACCAGAATGGGAGGGGCCAGTAGCTAATATGTTTTATATGATCTATTTTTCAACAGCATTTCTTTCAGTTAGGCAGTGTTTCTTGGGTTAAACGTACTATTTATTTTATTGTTCATTGTATCCTTTAATTCTTGATTTAGCAGGAAAGATAAAAAATTTGATCTAGAATTCTTTACTAACAATCCTGATATCAGTCTATCAGAGTAGAAATTGCAGTATTTCTCTCTAATTCTTAAAAAAAGGATAATAACCATTCTGACCTTGCTCCTCCCAACAGTTCATCTTTAAATGCAGTTAAAAGAGGTCTGATGGACAAGCAACCCCTTGCCTTGTTTTCTGCTCTGCTTTTGACATCTTGGGGACACTCTATTCCTGAGGTTTGTTCCTTTTTCTCAGGTGCATTACAGTTTATGAGGCATTTAAATTATATTTGTTTTTGTTTTTTTCAACCTCTGTGACTTTAATGATAGCTCCTATTCCTTTTTGTGTAATTTGTATTGCTGGTAGCATTTTTCCTCCAAGTATTTATTTATTTTCACGGATATATGTAGTCTCATTCACATTTTGTGTATTGCCTCTAATAGTTGTTACATGAAGAGAATGACATGTAAATCACAGTTATTTTAGAAGTATATCATTAATAATATAATAGATTTATTGATAATGTTAAATAACTACACCATTCATTTCAGTTCTGTGAACACGGAATTGACTGCATCCATGAGCTAGTAATGCAAGGTATGTATGAAGCAGCCATTGCAGCCATGGCCCACATCATGCCCCTGTTCTTCAACCAGCCTGAGGACATCACAACACATTCCAAGTGAGTATTGGGATTATATGGCAGAATTAACCAATTGAAGGAACTGTACTTGCCATTTTGTTATGTGATATGAATTTACATGTATAGCCATGTTGAGTTTGTATTTATGCTTGGGATTTTGCATATTTATCGTGTATGAAATAATTCTTGGTAAATTTCATAAACCTTCATTCAGTTTATTTAACATTTTTAACCCCTACAATCCAGATAACATAACCATCATGTCATGTAAAAAATTGGATGTGGGGCAGGTGACGTGAACTTGCTATCATGAACATTTTGGCTGAAGGCTCGGGTACCAGAAAGATACACCATAAGTGCACAAAGCTCTTGAATGTTGATTAAACTCATTTAGCATGTAGAAACAAGGGTGAAATATGATATTCATGAGCCATGACTGGATGAGCACTGTCTCTATGGAGAACGCTATTTCCATGCTCAGGATACTTTTCCTGACCACCTGTATTTTGGGCCATATGATGGTAGTGAAGCATATGGATTTTGTAGGTTAAGAGTTTCAGTGTTAATTACCTGCAGTGTTGAAATGTACTGATATAAATATATCCTTTACCCCTAGGATGATGACTGCTGTTCAGAAATGTTTAACAGCAGATCAAACATATATGACGCTAGCCAAAAGCCTCGTCACATCTGCTTTTCCTGGAAAGGTTCTGAGTCTGTTTGCTGCCATGATTGTTCATCACATTAAGAATTACTCAAGGTTTGTTTTTGAAAGTCATTATCCAATTTTTGTATTCAGTGATATTTTCACCAGAAACGACTCTTTTCATCATATATGATCTACAAATGTCATAGTATCACACACATTTAAAAAAAAAAGATTAACATCTCTTATCCTCAGGTATTGTCTGTCATCAGGCTTGTTAGCTGTCAGATTCTGGCAACAGATGCTGGTGGGAGTACCAGACTGGGTGCATGACAGCAATGTGCTCTTTCTTTTAGATACCATCTGTCAACATGCCTTTATCCAACCACAGTGTTGGCAAGAAGCAATCTCTGGTTTCTCTGAAATAATGAAGGTGTGTTTTTTTTCTTTTTTTCTTTTTTTCCCTTTTTTCTGTTTTTGATTTTTTCTTTTTGTTTGAAATGTGTAAACAAGATATATAGTTGTTTTCTCCTTTCCTTTTATATTAGCTTTGTCTTTTCTTTATTGTATAACCAATGTACTTTCTTACAGAACTCAGATTATCAACATAATGGAGGTAGTGGCCTTAGTGGTCTGCTGTCTTGGTTGACATCAGGAACAACAGCCCCTAATTCATTACTAGTGCGATCTTCAGCACCACAATTTCCCTGGTTCACTATTGCTGTACTTTCTTTGGAGACTCAGGGAGAATTGGCTTCAGGGCTTTGGAAGAACCTGTTGCTTGAACTTTATGCTGATCCTCAGACTACACTAGAAGTAGCCCTCAAGGTGATGATTGATTACAATTTTCTTTCTTCGACTTTTTTCTTTCTGTATTGTTCTAGATTTTAAGTAAAATGTAAATGAACAGATCAATTTGGTCATTTCTTTAGATTTTTTTTATGTTATAAGATGCATTTTAGGCAGTGCCATTTAGTATCTTTTGGCTGATTTCCAAAGCAGAAAGAGCTTTATACAGGTTGCATCAGGGTTTTCATCAAGCAAATGAAGGTTTGCTTGAAATAAGGGTACTCAAGAATTATTAATCTTAGAATAATTTTCTTCACTCACATCTTTATGATTACATGCTTACATGATTTGTATTATGACTGAAGTATTATTTATTTCTTAATTTATAACATCAGAAAGTTAGCAAGGAATTGGGACTGGGTCAGGTGTCATCCAGTCTGCTTAGCATTTACCGCTGGGGCCAGCAAGTGGTGGACCTCCCTGCAGACCATCCAGCTCTCCCTATCACTATGCAGATGTACTTCATGCTTCATCTGGCCCGAGTGCCACCACAGCCAAGGTATTTATATTGTTAATTGCTGTATTTTGTTGGTGCTGCAACTGACTATTTTTAACGGGGAACTATTTTTCAAGCAACTTTATTTTATATTTTTCACTCTATGTACTTTTTAAAGAATTCAAATCTTAGTGAAGTATCTGAAATATTATTTATTTTTTATGTTGTTTTTTGACATATATGATACATAATGATTCCCATGAATTTTAAGAGTATATTTTTTATTTGATGAAACTGATAATGTGACATATCCCTTATGTGCAACTCAACTTAGACAGTACGAGTGCAGCAGTGTGATCAACCGCTTTTATCAAGGCTTCGTAAATCAGTCCTTCCTCAATAAGATCAAAAAGAAAGTTACTGCTGCTTTGGAGCACCATGAGGCTGTGATGGCCAAGGAGAGTGATGAGGATGAGAAAGATGCATCACACAATGTACAGGTATAATGTGATTTTAATATTTTGTGAAATGGTTCTTTCTGATCATATCCTTTGTGTGTCATAAGTGATTTCAATAGATGTATATCTTGGTGACACCAGGTGTAAGTCAGGGTATAGGAAGATATATAGTTCCTTTTGGCAATAAATAAAAATGATATCCCTGCATATCCAAAAATTATTCAGTGGAGTATTTAAGAAAATATATTAAGTATTGACATTAGATTTTTTAAAGTTTGTAAGAAATACAGTTAGAGCTAAAGAAGGAATGGGAATTAATTAATTTATAGGTTTGAATATATTAGAACTAAGGCTGTATACAGTAGCATCATAATAATAATAGGGTGTGCTACAAAGTGATGCAGAAAATTAGATTAGTAAAGTGACTTTCTTTACAACTAAAGAATATTAACCCCTAAAGTTTTATTTGCCATAATTGTGGTTAATTGCAAAAAATATGGACTTCAATTCTTCACTATCTTGGAAAGGGTAGAAAAATGGTAGGATTAATACCCTCACTTCCTATGTAGGCTGTCCTCCTATCTGAGCTAATCAGAGAATCATGTTTTCCACCTCTGTCTTCTTGTGAATGAAATTTAGTTTGTTTAAAGTAGTGATTGCTGTTTGGCTGTTACTTCTTGTTATATCATCTTTTTATTATTTATACACATTTTATTGTCTTATGTGATGAAACATATTCATAGGCAATATATCGCCATTTTCATTCAAGCATAGGAGGTAACTGCAGTCGCTTTTTCAACTTTCCACTCTGCTGCCACTTGTAAATTGCCTCAGTGAATTTTCCTTTATTTCTCTTTCTTTTCTTCTACTTCTTCTTCTTCCTCTTTTTCTTCTTCTTCATCCTCTTCTTCCACTTTTTCCCCTTCGTCCTCTTCTTCGTCTTCAGTTGTAGGGACAGACAAGATTGAGTGTTTGCTGTTCTTAGGGGGTTAATGTGGTGTAAAATAAAATGTTTATAAACCTTTAAGAGAATTTTAGGAATTAGAATTGTAAGCCAAGAATATGTTGTCCAGGTTGCAGAAAGAGTGAAACTTCTACGTGCTATGCAGTCATGGCTAGAGGAAAGTCGATTGTATGATTCTGGTGTTTATCTTCCTGCTCTTCCACCCAACCTACTTCCTAAGAAACTAATGCAGGTGTTCCAGGTGAGTTTTTCTTTTATTTTCTTTTTCTTTTTTTTCTTATTAGTTCTGTGTGTGTGTGTGTGTGTTGTTGTGTGTGTGTGGTGTGTGTGTGTGTTGTGTGTGTGTGTGTGTGTGTGTGTGTGTGTGTGTGTGTGTGTGTGTGTGTGTGTGTGTGGGTGTGTGTGTGTGTGTGTGTGTGTGTAAGTGTGTAAGTTTGTAAGTGTGTAAATGTGCGTGTGCAAGCATGCATATGTCATCTCTCTGTCTGTCTGTTGTCTTCATTTTTTGTAAGTGTGTGATTGTTTTGTATCCTGTCTTTGATTTACTTTTAAAAGATATTACTCTTTCACCATTCCTGTTACTGTATGATGTATGATAGTATTAGAAAATTAGGAATAAAGGGATGCATTAGTACAAAAGGTCATAATTAATATATCTCCTGTAAAGGCTAACTGGGAGCCCTGGCCAGAAGCTGTTGATGTTGATGCAACGGAAGAGGCAGGAAGACGACTCCTCAGGTTAGTTTTTATCTTACCTTCACATTTGGTTTTACATATGTGTCATTTATTTTTCTAGTACAAAGTTATAGTCTTCTCCAAAACAGTTTAAAGGGAAGCAGAATTATTAGGGGCCAGTGTGGTGCTGCAGTAATCTACCCTCTGAGGACTACATGCCAGATTAAAGCATGATTGTTATATAATGTTGATAGACTTTATTTCATGTTGTCTGAAAATCTTCATCGTCAAAATGTATCACAGAGTCTGGGACCAGTATCGCAAAAAGGCCAGTTTTAGCAGCACTGTGGGTCTATCTCCTTCTGCGTCTCCAAATCGACAAGGCAGACAAAGCAATCCTGATCAGAGGACAGTTCCCCGTAAAACCCCTACTGAAGCAATCCTCAAACGACTGACTACATATGAGTCTCCACAACCACCACCTCCCATTCCACCCATGAGTCCTCTCCATCTTCCACATATCCATGACAGCACTCTGATTGACCAGGATGCTCTTCTCTACCTGGTGCAGAGGTATACAGGTGAGTGAAGCATTGAACATGTATGTGATTGTCTCCTGGAGATCAGTACCCAAACAGCGAGTATTAGGCATTGAAAATGAGTTTACATGTTTAAAGTTGATAAGATAGTGAATGCTAATCTAAGATACACCAGAGTTAGGATACCTAGATAAACATTGTGAATCATATGAAATAGATATATGTTAATTTTGTCATTTCTTTTGTCTCCAGGATTGGTAGTTGAACACTCTCAGACTGTGAATCTTTGGTGCAGTGAGCTGTGTGCTCTTGACTGTGTCTATAGAGAATTGGTCCCACAGCTGTGGTCAAATGCACACACCAAAACAATTCTCACTGCTGCTTGCACACCACCAAAAGTTGGCAGAAAGCAACCAGAATGTAGTGGGCATGCAAGTATTGTTATGGAGGTGAGCTGGTTTTTATTCTGTTTTTTATTATTATTTATTCATTTATTATTTGTTTATTTATCTAATGTTAGAAAACTAGAATTTTATATATGAATTAACCCATTGTACCTTGTGTGTTTTGGTGCAGGTGAGGTCTGAATCTGGGAGGTCTCAGTTTGTAGTTTGGCACTGACTGCAGGGGCATTTTCATAGTCTGCAAACTAGCACACTACCCTTCATTACTCTTTTTCATTGTCTTGCTTTTTTACACAGATGTATTAGAGCCATGACTGCAATTACTTTTCTATTTGTTTTCCTATTTGGAGATATATCTTGGCCATGTTATCCATTTTATCAAAGGTGTGGTATTCCCATACTCTTTTCTGCGTTGTGTAATAAGACAATATAGTATTATAGGAGGAAGAACAGTTTTGTCAAATTAACAAATCATGGATGATAAACAGAAGGGATCAGGTTGGATTGACTTCCAACATAGACTATAGACTTTGTTGATGTCATGCTCACAAAAACTTGCCCAAGCAAATCACCCCCAATCAGTTGTTGACAAGTGCTATATTGTAGTGCCCTTTGTAGTCCAGTTGGATTAGAAACTCAGAATTTATATTGCTCTATCTGATAGCTTAGACTGCCATTTATCAACCCGTTTTGTAAGTAGGGTAACTCTGATGGGATACAGACCTTCAAGGCATATTTGACTCTCGGGTGCAATTGGTTAATGATAAACTCTATTCTAGTGGCTGAACCTTTGTAATGATTATAGTTATACCAGGTTAATTATATATTGATAATATTGTTTTTAGAATTATTGTTATATAACAGAGCAGTACAATAATTTAACCTTATCTGTATTTGGTTGTAGTTTTCGGAAGCCCGTTTAAACGAGGGCATCAAAGTACGCATTGACCAGAACCGTGAACAACATGATGTAGTACTGCAGAGATGCCAGAAACCTCCACCATTACAGTTGTGTCAAGCTGCAGTAAGCCTAGAAGCTATCATTACGTAAGTGATGTATGATAATTGGTCCAGAATGTAATTCTGGAATCATGATGTTATGTGAGGCAGAAAACATTATATTATCTGTTGCATTGCCACTTGTATATGAATCTATCTAATTAAGATATGTTACATAATTTTGCTTGTCATTAAAAAAGTTTGTAGAGAAAATATTTCTATTTTTAGAACCAGCTTAATATTTACCAGCTATTATGAATTCCTAGGTCTTTACGCTCTTATTGTAAAGTATGTAAATACACAAGCCCTTTTTTTCTTTTCTATCTTTCTTACTTTTTTTCTTTTCTTTTCTTTTCTTTTCTTTCAGTGTCCTGGTTAATGAGTTCCGTAGGACAGACAAGAATACTAATAAGCAAAAGTGGCAGTTTCTACTAGCTAATGGGAGACAGCTTTTCTATCATATAGTTCAGTTAACATCAGATGACACCAGCTTCTACCCACCTGCCAAACAGCTTATCTCCTCATGTGCTGGCATTCTAGGACAGGTAAGGAAACTAATGCTTATTGAGGTATGGAGAAATGGTAATAGGATTTTTCGTGTTGAGTTTGTTACTTTTTATCATTATTTATTTGATTTATATGAAAACAGGCCACAATTGATTATTACTGTGTGCATCATGATGAATTGCATATCATGGTATGCATAAATACTGATAATCCTTTGACCTTTTAGGAATTTGTCCGAGGACATGCAGACTGCCAGGAGAGTCTTGTTGCTCAAGTGCTAGAATGGGGAGGAAAACTAGGGGGTCTCCTTGCTCCACACTTCACCCCATATGTTACTCCAAAACATGTCTTTTTGATGTTATACTCAACTCTCAGCCCATATGCTCCTTCAGCTCCAGACCACACCTTTATGCTCCTGTCAAAGGTAATGATTTATTACATGCTCTGCTTTGCATAATGGGTAGTCATATTCTAGGATATATGGCTAACAAGCTCAGTCTTATAGTATAAGAGGTGTGAACATGCAATTCCCCTATTCATCTGGGATTGCATAATATTGAAAAAGAATCCATTGACAGTCTATTGTTTGAGAGGATTCATTAGGTCACAACATTCCACTGATATGTGCAATTGCAGACAATATCTCTTGCACAGAAGATAGTGTTAAGATATGCAGAGTTTATCAACTGTGGAAGAAAAATATGTATTACTAAATAGTCTTCACTAATGATTATAATATAATATGTGTGTAATGTAATTAATCCAAAATAAAAGTAGTTCTTCCCTGTCAGTTATTCCACATTAGTGCAAGTCATTATTTTGCTTTATTCAGTTCGACATCGAGAGATGGCTAGCAGAGTCAAGTCCAAATTCGAGTGACAGATCAGAATTGATCAACACCATAGCTGCAGCTTTTATGTCTCTCTTACCAGGACCAAACCCAACTCTTCTAATGGTGCTTGAGGTGAGAGGTTGATATATTACTTTTCTTTTCAAGTTTCAGATTTGGATTCTAGGATTAATCTGAATGATTGAAGAATCATTTTTGAAGGTTTAAGTCTTTGGAAATCTTGGACCGTATGCGCTTTGTAATTTGATTTTGTGGATATTTAAATAAGTTTGTTTTTGTTTCATGCAAGCTTTATCGAGTCCACCTTCGAAGCCTGCTAGCATTCAAGTTTCCTGAGCACTACACAGAGGTACTCAATGTTATGTTGCAGATTTCTGCCTCTACACAAGTAAGTACAGTTTCTTTTGACATTCTTATGAGTATGAAATTATTTATAAGTATATACACCATAATTTTGAGTAGAGATGTAATTCATGTGCTTCAAAGAATGTAATATAACCTCTTATAATTCTTTTCAACAGGAAGACTGTGGAGGTGTAAGTTCTGGCCTCTGGTATGATCTGATGAACAAGATATCTGTAGGCATCACCACCTTTAGTCCTGAAATGGAACGAAATGCTTTAAATCAAGCCATCAAAGAGTATGCACAGCATCAGACGATCCTGTCACCGTGTATGGTATGTATAGGAACTTTCTACTGAGATAATATTTCCAGTTTCTTGCTGTAGTTATTGTAATTTTGGAAAACAAAATTGTAAACTATTACTGAAGATGGAATTTGCCAGGTATTTTTTTTTATCTTTATTTATTACTTTCTTTTTTTTCTTTTTTCATATTTTCATCTCTTTGAACATTTATATACAGGTGGAGGATACCTTAAAGATGCTTTCGAATTACTTTGTGAAGCAGCGTCTTGAATTTGGCTTGTATGGTCTCTATCCCAAGTACCGACTTCATACTCAACCTATTGCCACCTTTTTGGGGCTGATTTCACATGCCTACATCATCTCTGCCTTTCACACAAAATACGGTACTCCACAAGAGGAAAGTAAGTCTTAAAAAAAAATCTTAATAATGTTTATAAAAATAAGTTAATAAGATTTCAGTCTATACTTTATAAACATTTGTTTGGTCAAGAATATTATCTTGTTTATACGTAATCCACATTCTTGAAAATGTCTTAACAAGCCAGCAAATCATCTTTTGTTATGGAGAAAATGTGCTAAGTATTCTTTACAACCAGTCGTACGGGAAGTCTGGTCAGGGGTGGATAGCCTCTGGGCTGGATGGGTGACACCACTTGGAGGACGCGATCGTCAGTCTTTCTCTCCTTGGTTGCGTCATCTCACTCACGACATACGCTTACTACTCCCATGGGCCCCTAGTGATACAAGCTCAGCTGATGCCATGGTAGCAATGTTTGCAGCTTCTATTGGCTTTATGCATGAACTTCTGCCAGGTAAGTTGTCTGTATGATTATATGTATTGTCTGTATGTAGAGAATTGTATGATCTGAGGAAAGATGATTCCATTTAATAATTGATTTTTCCCACAAGGTGTATACTTCAAATGTTAGTGATATGATATAGGCATGTTTCCTTTATGTTATGTATATATCTATTTTTATTTGCATTACGAGTTTGAAAGTATTTGATACGTATCTAGAAAAACTATTGTAAAAGATAAAGGCTATAAATATTTTAATCCTCCATATCACCAGGAAGCAGTGTGTTGTCCTTGACCCTAGAGTACTATTGTACCATGTTTGCTGCACAGGAGGTCAAGAGTCATGTGCTGGCGGTCATCCATGCTCACTTCTCCGCCCTGCCATGGCATCACCTTCACCCGTCCCTCCAAGACACGCTTATTTTTACTAAGGTCATTTACTAAAGGCAGTTTTTGTGAATGCTTCATCTCAATTTATTTACTCTCATTTTAACCCCAGTTTCTCATTCTTTCTGTGTCATTGCAAGTATTTTAATTAATGAATGTTATTGGAAGTAGCTGTATTTTTTAATGTGTATCATCTTTTCTCTTTCATTTGTGATTGCAGGTTGTTGAGCAGTACCTGCCAGAGTGCCATAACTTTATTGGTGGTGTTCTTGTACAAATTAATTGGAATAAGGTAGTCCAGTCAGCTATGTCTCCAACATCAAGTTCTACAGCAGAAGCCCAAGGGTATACTAGTGCAATTTTTGGTCGCTTTATTTCTCATCTCATATCTGCCATTTTATTTTATAGGTTGTGCACTTTTTTTACATACTTTTGTCTTTTTGTTTTTACAGGCAAGGCCAGGAGGCACCAAGTGCTGTCAAACTCCATACTTGCTTACTTAACCTGCTGGTCAGGATATCCATGGAGCCCAGTGTGAGACAGGTAAGATTTGAAGGGTATTGTAGGAAAGTGTATCTCAAATAACCTTTATATTATTAAATTCATCTTACAAAGCTCAAAATTTATTGACATGACCTTTTTTTCCTTTCTTTAATTGTTTATAATTTGTAGGAAATAGAAAAAGAAATACACTGAAAGTGGGTATCTGAATCAAGTGTTATGAGAGGAATTTCCAAATCTTAGAAGTTTACTTTAATGACTGTCATGATCATAATATCCTTCCATATTTTTCTTCTGTCTGACTGATCACTACAGATTGCAAATTTCTCTTTACCAGTCATCACTTCTGCAAACATTATTGCTAGAAGCAGAATCTTTCTCCTGGTGGCTTGTGGACAGTGAGAGTTTCCAACGTGTTGTCAACTGGTGGGTCATGAGTTGCGACCCAAGAATTGTTCTTGCTCTTCCTGACCGTAACCCAGTGGATGTTGCTATCATTCAGTGAGTACCTTTTCATGTCACATATAAGAAAGGTTTCTTCTAGCTATCCACTATTGTCTCATTTCAGTATGCAGGGTACAAGGTATCATTTTATGTTTCATTTCAGTGTGTAGGGTGTAAGAAAAGCACACAGTTTGGTTGGTCGGTGATCTTAGGTTAATTATAGTGACATAAGTTTTTTTTTATTATTATTATTATTATTCTGTATTATATATGATTTTTCTCACTTCTTGAAGCACAGTTAGGAGATCCTCCAGGTACAAAGGTTGGAAGAAATAAAGACTAGAAATATGTGAATAAATAATACAGAAAAGAATCAATACATATTGAAAATGTTTGTTTATAATAAGGAATTGGAATGTACAATGATGACACCCCTTGAAAAGTCTGGTATGTTATCACTGAAAGCTATGAAACAATGATATTTTCATTGTCTATTATTGAAGATTCTGGAGGAAAATCAGGCATTTCATGCTCTTTCAATGTCTTGAGATTCTGGTAGGGCACCATTAAACTGAGGTTCTGGTCTCGGAGTACTTATCCTGTGGAAAGGACAGTAAGCTGTATCTAATTAATTTCAGATGATGTAATTTGACATAACAAGTTATGAATTCAGTTGCAGGAACTTTTATTTTTCTTATATCAAAACATTATATTATAGTAATACTTTCAGTAAAAAAAACTTAGTGCTTCATGGTAATACTTTCAGTAAAAAACTAGGTGTTTCAAAGTAATACTTTCAGTAAAAAATAAAGTGTTTTATAGTAATACTTTCATGAACTGAAAATAATAAATCAAATATAATAGCTCTTTGTGGTAGAAAACATAAACAAACCTTAGTTTTCCTGAAAAGATATCAGAAAGAAACTTGCGGAGAAACAGATGGTATAATCCCCATATAAATGCAGCAGTCACAAGCAAAACGGCCATTGCTATTAGAGCTACATATATTCCTGTAAAAAAATTTACGTATAAAGATGCAAATTGGTTCTTTGTAGATATACCAGTGATATGGCGTTCTATTCAGGCTTTTTATCAACAGCATAACAACTAGTCAGGATAGCACACCCGTTGTATTGTCAACAGCAGGAAGTGTCATAACTCTGTAGCATCCTTCGTATATTAAAGGAGTCCCTTCATGCTGCAAATCACTAGCAGATAGACACATCTCATACTCATTGTCTGGCTTTAACATGCTTATCTGAGAAAGTAGGTTGAGTATATTTGTCTTAATCCTGTATGTGTTACATAGATTTTTTTCTTTCCATTCAATGATATAATGGATATAGGGATCTTTATTATGGCAGAAACTTATAAACATGGGTATTTTTAAAGTTTTAAACCTATTTAAACAATTTCAATTTAGACATAGGATGCTCATACAGACACTTACTGTATGCCGAGCATGGTACACAAAGCTGTGCTCATGTTGTGGTTGTGACAGGTTCGCATTTGTGGTCGGGATTTGGAAGATCTCAACAATGGTTTCATTGCTGGTACCAGCTTTCCGCAAAGATATTGTGACCTTGAATAGAATTGTTTGTGTCAGTTGTAACCCCTCTTATGCCCTTCTAATCCCATCCTAATCTCTTTTTCTCTCTTCTTTCTCTCTTTCTCTCTCTCTTCTTTCTTTCACTCTCTCTTTTTTCTATCTCTCTGTTTTTCCCTGACTCTATTTTTTCTCTCACTCTCTCTTCTTTCTCTCACTCTCTCTTCTTTCTCTCACTCTCTCTTCTTTCTCTCACTCTCTCTTCTTTCTCTAACTCTCTCTTCTCTCTCTAACTCTCTCTTCTCTCTCTCTCTCTCTCTTATCTTATCTTATCTTATGTTATCTCTCTCTTATCTTATCTCTCTCTCTCTCTGTCTCTCTTATCTTATCTCTCTCTCTCTCTCTGTCTCTCTTATCTTATCTTATCTCTCTCTCCTCTCTCTCTCTCTCTCTCTCCTCTTCTCTCTCTCTCTCTCTCTCTCTCTCTCTCTCTCTCTCTCTCTCTCTCTCTCTCATCTTATCTTATCTTATCTTATCTTATCTTATCTCTCTCTCTCTCTCTTTTCTCTCTCTCTCTCTCTCTCTCTCTCTCTCTCTCTCTCTCCTCTCTCTCTCTCTCCTCTCTCTTCCTCTCTCTCTCCCTCCCTCCTCCCTCCTCCCTCCCTCCCTCCCTCCCTCCCTCCCTCCCTCCCTCCTCCTCCCTCCCTCTCTCCCCCTCCCTCCCTCCCTCTCTCCCCCTCCCTCCCTCCCTCTCTCCCCCCTCCCTCCCTCTCTCCCCCTCCCCCCTCCCTCCTCCCTCTCCCCCCCTCCTCCTCTCTCCCCCTCCCTCCCTCCCCCTCCCTCCCTCCTCCCCCCCCTCCTTCCCTCACTCCCCCCAAACCCTACGCATTATATTATTTTCATATAGATCATCCTTGTCTTACATGTAGTTCTATTTATCACATAAATATCTTGCCAAATACACATATTCATACAGGTTCGGTCCATGAGATGCAGTGCACTTGTTTCTGTCACGTACAGTAGACGTCAGACAGCCATTCAGCAGGAACGAATTCTTTTAAGAAACAGTTCCACCCCTACCCCAATGCTTCCATGCCCGTTTTGTCATTATTGCATTTTTAAATTGAAGATAGGGAAGATGGAACACTATTGGATGCAGTCATCATTAAGAACTGGAATAGAAGAAGTCCATGAATAAAAGAGGACTGTGTTTTTGCTCAAATTATATCCCGTCTTTCTCCGTGTTCTCCCCTCTTCCTTTAATTTCTTTCCCTCTGTCTCCCCGCCCTCTTTCGTTTTCCCCCTGTTCCCGTTTCTCTCTAGTCTCCCTTTCGTGTTCACCCAATAGCATTTTCTTTCTTCCATTTTCTCACTTTATCTCTTCGTCTCTCTTGTCTCACCTGCGTCGAAGTGACATTATACGTAGTAAGGAAGAGGGACACGTCGTAAGCTCCTGCTTTTAGGCTGTCGACGACCATTCTCGAGTTCTCTCGGCTGTCGATCTCCGAGGCTGTGGCTGCCGCTATCTGTAATTATCGTTTTATGCGTTATTTACCACCGTTTTCTTCATCTTTTTTTCTTTCGTACTTTTTTTAACTTTTTCTTTTGTGATGTCTGTATAAAAAGGATTGCGCCGTTCGGTATTTTTTCATGGCAGCGGGTGATACGAGTTTAGGCTTTTGGTAGTTCGACGACTTACTTGTGTTGTCATTGTCAGTATAATCACAAGCTTATGTTATGCTTAATTCATAGTAGCGGAATGTAATGTATTTTTGTGTTTTTTTATGTGCGTATGCGAGTGTGCAGGTAGGTATGTAAATTGTATTTCTTTGATATATACGCACGTACACACACGCGCGCACACACGTTCACACACACGCACGCACACACGTTCACACACACACGTTCACACACAGTCACGATCACACACACACGATCACACACGGCGCACAGCAACATGCACGCACACAGCACACACGCACACACACACAACACACACACACACACACACACACACACACACACACACACAACAACACACACACACATATGTGTGTGTGTGTATGTGTGTGTGTGTGTGCGTGTGTGTGTGTGTGTGTGTGTGGTGGTGTGTGTGTGTATGTGTATGGATGCATGTGTATGTGGCAAGTGTAAGTGAGTGTAAGTGTATGTGTATGTGTGTGTATGTGTATGTGTGTGTAATGTATGTATGTGTATGTATGTATGTATGTATGTGTATGATACTGTATGTATATATATATATATATATATATATATAAATATATATATATTATATATATATTATATATATATATTATATATATATATATATATGTATTATTATATATATATATATTATATATATATATATATATATATATATATATATATATATAATATATTATATTATATATATATATATTATATATATATATATATATATTATATATATATTAATATATATTATATATATTATATATTATATATATAATAAATTATTTATATAATATGTTATATATATATATAAATTATTTATATATATATTATATATATATTATATTATATATATATATATATTATATTATATATATATATTATATATATATTACATATATAATATATTATATACATATATATATATATTATTATACATATTATATATTATATAATATATATATACTATATATATATATTATATTATATATATTATATATATATATATATTATATATATATAATATATATTATATATTACTATTGATATATATATATAAAGATATATATAAGTATTCTATACTATATATATTATATATATATTATATATATATATATTATTTAATATATACATTTATTATATATATATATAATAATA